CTTCCTCCTTTAGGCCCAACTTGTTGGCTAAAATCTGGGAGCCAAAGTGCACATATACCAGCCCTGCACTGCTCAGCTTGGTCTGCCATGGTTTATCAGGTTTTAGGCTGTGCATTGACTCGTTAAATGACCTGTGAGAACAAGGCAGGGGATCAGAAGAGACTGGGAAGGCAGGAAGAGTGACAAAATCACACCACCTTGAGAAAGAGCTCGGCCTTCCAAAATTCCTCTTCTTCTGGTAGAACTGACCTTTAAAAATATACTTCAAAGCGCTGCCTACAACAAGGAAACCTTGCCCAAAATGTGCTTTCCTCCTTTCCCTTCTCTGTCATTTTTAGACTGTAAGGCCAAAAGCAAGGACTGTATTAACAGTATTATACCTGAGTCGAAAGATACTTTGAAAAGCACGTTAAAATGTTGTTTAAAATACTAAAAATAAAGATGAATAGTGGAAGTGCATCTCGAACAAGTTCTTTACCTCGGTGAGAAGCAGGGCAAGGAATGAAAGAAAAAAAAGAGATTGTATGTAATTTCTCACTTCTTTTTTTTTTAAATTATCTTAAGGAGGCTCCTTAATGGTCACAGCTGGCTAGCAGTGGTGGCATCTAATCCAAGATATCCGGAAGCCATTAAATCTAGGGTAATTATCTTTCAAAGTCCTCTTGACTTCCTCACCTGCTGGATGGTGAGACTTACTGACTAGGTTAAGATGGCAGCATACTGAGGAAAAGTTTAAGAAATTCTTTGTTACCTCTGGTGATGGTCGTAGCGGTGCTTCTGAGGGTCATATTCACCCCCAACGTCCACCACAACATCACATGAGGACAGCAGCTGGGGATCCCGAGTCCGGATAATCTCTGCATCCTAAAGCCACAGCGAGCAGTGTGACAACAACACAAGCAGTGAAACAAATGCATGACTACCAATCTTGTAGCTTCTGACCCTAGTCCCTTCTAGCTTCTGCAACAAAGTGATAGGTTTTGTTTTTTTTTAACTTTAAATTCCTTTTAGTTAAGACAGTTTGCTTTACCGGGTAGCAGGTAATCTACAGGATGAAGAATTCTCCACAATTCTGAGAGGTTGCAGATTCAAATGATGACAAAAAAAATATTATAAATCAAGACCTATTTTCCCCGTTTTGTAATTCAAAAATTCCAGAAGGAGCAAGCTGGGATTAATGTGTTTTGTTAAAAAGAATTTTGGGTTATAATCCTTGCTAAACTGAGGAGACGTAAGTTTCCTGAATATGCAGAACCCATTATTAGATAAGATCACCCAAAAGAAAGATCCCAGTAGCACTTTACCATAGATTATCTTTTATTGTGGGTCTGAAAGATACAGAAATATTACGTATATGTTGGGGTGCGTGTTACTCAGATTCTAGCAACACTCAGATTCTAGCATAAAAGTTGATATGAAAGAAAGCAGCAGTAAAAACTTGACCTTTAAACGCCCTTATATTTCTTACAACTATAAAAGCAGCTTTGAAAACATGTAGATGTTTAATGAAATCTCAGAAATCTGGGGCAATTGGGTCATAGTTGTAACTACAGATGCAGGATTAAGAGTAGAGTAAGAATGCCAATGATTTATAATGTAGCAAGACTGCAAACATTTGCAGCTTCTTAAAAGTAATTTGTTTTCCGTTTGTAAATCTCAAAGATGCAGGGATTCCACTCATACCAAGATCCGGGTGGAGGAGGGAAGGTAACTTTAAATCAGGGGTTGTCCAATCTTGGCAATTTGTGGACTTTTAATTCCCAGAATTCCCCATCCAGCCATGCTGAGGTTGAAGTCCACAAGTTCTGACTACTTTTACACCCGCAGCCACGCAATTACTGAAAATAACCGGAAAGATGCTATGTGTGATTGTGATGCCTGCCAAAAGACAGGAAAGCTGGCAAGTTGTGCTTGCCTGATGGGATGTGAAAAAAGCACAATCTCTGCACACCCCAAATTTAATCCCACATCATGTCAGAAGAAGACACGTGCCTTCCGTATGTTTGGATTGCAATTCCCACAATGCCTTACTGGCCACGCCGGCTGATCACAGATCGGTGGTCTCAAAAATATATGCAAAGTATCAGCTTTCCTCAAGCCTCTAAATGCCGGCTGGGCACCATAGGAACTGTAGTCCATTCCAACCCATGTGGGGGGGTGGGAGACGCAGAAAAGGAAGGCTGTGATTGCACTGGCTTGCCGGGGATTGCTTTGTTACCTCTGCAGCGGGACTGCCCTACCTGATAAGAGGGAAGCAGCTTCAAGAGGAAGCAGGCGAGCGCCTCGTCGCAGTGAAAGGTGCCCCCGTGGGTGCCGATGCGGGGGTGGCGCGCGCGCTTGGGACCCGGCATGAAGTTCCGAATCACACGAGGAGCCCAAGAGAAGACACGGAGCATGCGCATAGCGGCGGTTGTACGGCACTTGCTCCCCCCCGCCTGATTTCCGCCACCGGGGTCTGACGGCGGCGCTTCTACCGTATTCCTGCGAGTTGGGGCGCATCAGTTTCGTCTCCCCAAACACTTTCCTCGCGAGACAAGGTATCCTTTCACGGGGAAGAAGGAGGAGGAGGAGAGGGAGGGGGAGGAGGAGTTTTGCGATTGTAAGTAAACCGGACCGGGGATGCACTTGCGGGGGAGCAGGGCGGCAAAATTTCGTTCCTTGTATGAAAAACTGCGGAATAAAAGTACAGTAAGTTGTTCCTTAAAAAAAAAAAAACACCTACTTTTCAAGAGAAACGTCTGTATATTACTGGAGATAAGACTTCCACACAATTTATTTCACAGGGTTGTTTTCAGGGAGGACTCTCCTGGTTGCCCTGAGCAACTGAATTAATTTTTTTAAAATGTTCTTAAAATGTCATCGAAGACAGTGAAAATATTTAAAAAGTGAATTGAGTCTTTAAAGACCCCACTCTTGCCTCCCCCCCCCAATTTGACGGCCCTGTGGGCCCTTTCTTCACACCCCAAGCCATTCGCTTTCAAGGAACAGAATGCAATTAATCATTACAGTCAAGGTTAACCATATTGATAGGGTTAACATGAATGTATGTGAATATAATTAATAAAGGTGGTGTATAAATTAGATCATACTCTGCATATTTTCCCTATGGGTGATGTTCTCCAGCAAGGAACCTAACCAAAAGGGCGCTATGGTGAACTGGCTAGCTGGCATTTCTGTGCCAAATGCTTTCACGTGTTACCACTTTTGCCAAATGCTTTCACTTGTTACCACTTTTAGCAAGGGTCATGCATTCTACTTGCTGGATGGCTTCAGGCTGAATTTCTAATATTGCTGATAGGAAAATAGGTGCACGCCAAGCTAAAAAGGTCACAGAGAGCAATAAACAGCATTGAGGAGGTGGTGGGTGAAGGAGTTGGCCATATTCAAGCCTTTGACTGTCATCAATTCACTACATTTGCACCTTCTGTGAACAGGCAAGACTGTAGAGCCCTTGTAAAAACTAGAACCTCTGAAATAGGAATTTGAGCTGCCTCTGGCAAAAGGTGAAGTAAATGCAGCATCATGTGGAAATATTCTTTAAAAAATGATTAGTGGAGCATCTTCATGCTATGGGCAGCAGGATGTGAGGATAAAGCCACTGAGGCTTCACACAGATCTCCAAATGACTTCCTACAGTCCAGTGGTTTCATGAAGGGAGTGAAAGTGGCAGCGAGAGGCATGCAGTCTCCACATCTAGTTCTGGAGAGCTTGGCCCAAAGATGCCATCTTATTCCTCATACTAGTTAACATTTAGAAACAGTTTATGCTGCACCATTAAACCTTTAAAGCAACTGCATCAGCAGTTATGCACATATGTATTTTAGGAAGTTTTTAGGGTCCCAACTGATATAATTTTCAATCCCCTAATCGTTAGATTTTCCTCCTTGATAATATCAGTGTTAAATGGAAATAAATCCCAGGGCATTTAAATGATTCATTTCTAAGGAAACATCAAATTAATCACTCAAAAGGTTTTCTCCATTTTTTATTAATAAGATAACCAAGCATCACATTTAAAACTGCAAAACAGTATTCAATCATTCTTTATTGTTAAAGGTCTGGAATATTATATTTAAATATTAGATCTTTATTTGTTAGAAAAAAAGCCAAAAGATGTACAGAGGAATAAAAAGATAGCATTCATCTCTAAGTTTCCATCATTCATCATCATCACCACCACCATCATCACTATAATTAAAATATATATCTCTTTAAATCATTATATCGATTTGTATAAAGTGCATGACGATTTACTACATAAGGCAACAAAATGGAGATGATTTGTGTTTCTCATCTAGTAAGCTACCCCTTCTCTAACTGTACAGGTTTGGCTTTTACATGCAGAGGTTGAAAAAGAGCCCTAACGTCTTTCAGAAGAGAGCAGCTTTGATTCAAATCTCATTCTTATTAAAGCCTCTAAAATGAATTCACATGAAATATTTTCAGCCTGTACTAAATAGCCATCATAGTAACCTGACTGGCTTGTAACAAGCATGATGTTCAAACATTGGTGTATTCAGTTGAGGGCACAGAATTTGAGAGGGTGATTAGTTCCACTCCTCTCCTAGGCAGAAAAGCTTTAACTATTATTATCCTCCTCCTCTTCCTCTCCTCCCCCTCCTCGGCATGGAGATTATTTCTAGATATGGGATGGATTCCAAATCTTACATTCATGACTGCAACACCTATAAGATCTTGTTTTTGTTTTAACCATGAAAAAAAAGAGACAAAAATGTCTCTAAGGTACAGAAACAAACACCCCCTATAGCGAATTAGCATGCTTATGTTCTAGCAGCATTTTAAAAAGAGGACAACTTAGCAATGTGTATATTGTGCATTCCATATTGAGTACCGGAATTTTCTTCTAATCGTCTCTTTCAATACTTGATACCACCAACGAGTTCAAATTTGCCCTAACTCCCTTCTGTGATTCTAACTATGTATTTGCTGAGGTGATTTTCACATTTAAAAGTGGTCTTGACTCAAGCATATGGTGGAAACATAAACTCACCCTATCTTTAAAATTATTTATCAGCTTAGATGCCGAGATAAGAGTACAAATATTGATTTAAAAGCCCATTCAAGTGGCCAAAGCTAAGGAGTGTTCATTGAAGTGATGATGCATTTCTGCAGTTGAAGGAGAAAGGTTTAAAAATGGAGATACTATATCTAAAATGGTTAGCTTGGATAATGAAAAATCCAATTTATTTTGGGTTCCAAAGGTTCAAGCTTTAATATGCTTTCCCTGCGAAAGGAGCTAGCTGAAGGAGGGGCGCCTACATATGCTCACACACATCCAACCACAGGGACTTGTTGCATGTGGGTGGGCTGCCTTTGTGCCAACTCTCAGAGAAGTACAGAAGGAAGTTAAGGCTTTGATGAAATCTTCCAATCCCAGTAATTTAGGCTAATTTCAGAGTAAAACAATCTAATCATTCTAGAAAAATATAAATTGCTTTGCAGCAAACTCAAGGCACTTTCACAAGAATTACAGGCTAGTCTATTACCCTACTGACACCTAGTGAGCACAGGGCAGATTTCAATCCAAATGGGAAATATCTAGCTCTGCCTTCTTATATCATCTGTAAAATCTAACTAGCACAATCTTTTTTTTAACTGCTTATCTAATCTGTTCCTGTTTGTGAAGAATAATTATTTTACCTGATATATTAAAATATATAGCGACGTATTGAGTGCAAGCTGCTGTTATCACCAAGAATTAAAACCAAACAGAACTACACAATGGTGAATGTTCAACGTGTCTTTGAAGTAAGCAATATATTCTACTACCTAAGTTTCAGCAGGAGAACATTAGTCTATAAACAGGTTTTCTTTCAAACTAAATTAACTCATCTTTTAATGGTGCAGTCTTAATAAATCTCTCACCCAAATGTTTGTAGACTCCTTCATCAAACAGAAATTGGTCCACATCTTATTTCATTTTATTTGGGACCAATGCAACAAAAAGCTACCTAAACCACACATATTCTTGATGAAGTCATTATTGTTCAGAAGATCTTTTCTTTGTCAACAAATGGTTCATATGTACTTAATTTTTCTAGAAATCAAGTAGCCCAGAGGTTGTCAAACTTAGAGTAAACATTTTACCAGTATCAAAAATAAATTAGTTTCAGCCTCCCGAGAATGACTTAAGAACTGACTCAAACATTATAGCCCCAAAATGGAAACAACTGAAAATTGCTTAATCTCTATCAGATAATTAAGATGCTTTGTACATAATTTAATCTGATCATAGGAATCCTTTTTAGATACTATACCATTTTTCTGAACAAACCAAGCATTCTTTGATAGACTAAAAGTCAGTATTATATGTCTGGATTATTTCTCATCAACTCTTAGTAATTAGTAGTGTCAGACACTGTTTAAGGCTTAAAGTGGCAAACATGGCCATGGTTTTTTAATAGTGCAGAGATTCTGGCAGGAACCTGGTTTTTAAGAACGTGTCCATATTCCCCATTGAGGAGTGTATGATTAAATCCAAAGTCTTCCAGTTCCTATCATAGATTAACAAGAGCTTTAAAAGTGCTGACATATTTCTATGCATTTGACAAATTGCATTACCTCCCCCCCAAAACCCAAGAATGTGGTTATTTATTCTGACAAATCTTTTTTCTATTCTTCATTTGGCTAATAAATAGAAGTATTGCTGCTGTTGAAGCATCTTATTTATTAATTAAATTTATTTCTTAAATTTATATGCTGCCCTTTTCACTGCTAAAGTGACTGTTGGTATTTGGCAGGAAATTATATTCAATAAAAACGAGCACTTCGATATCTCTGTGTATTATTTCAGGACTGAAAGCTTTTACTAGCTTATAGAATGGAGAATATCCAAGTTCCCTTTTTCCTTCTACTCATTCTCTGTGGGAGCTCTTACACTATGGGTATCTTTCTAAGGCCACGTTTCAACTGCTGGCTTGAAAAGCATTATTTCCTTTCATCCCTGCAAAGCAGCAACAGAGAAAGCCATTCAGTTTTGAAGGGCAGGCGGGGTAAGATGAATCAGGTTGCTCCTCAGGGAGACTGGAGATGTATATCAAGAATGTGGCTCTTCAGGTAGCATGGGGGGTGGGAGAAGAAATCAAAATTCTCATGGACAGAATATACACAATCTCACGTGGGGTAAAAACTTTCAGTCTGTAGCCAGTGAAAAGCTGGGCTGACATCCCCCACACACACACTCTTGATTTCCATGTGCTTTTTCCTCAATGGTGACTCAGGAGATTTCATTGCCAAAGACTTCAAGGACCAGCGGAGTGAGCTGCATGCTATGTTCAGGCAGGAAGGAGAGGCAGCGATATTGCTTGGAATGCTCCTCGTTTAGGCTCCTCAAGTCTGTGAGTTTTTGGATCATCTTGGGATAGAGCAAGCGATTGCCCGG